AAATAGGGAAGGGTGGAGGGGGTGAAGGGAGGGCAGGGGAATGGGGAAAAAATAAGAACCAAGATACTCATGTAATGGTACAAGTTCCCCATGATGAATGTAACTATATTGCATACCTAAAATGTACCAATAAACTTAATGGAAAAAAAAAAAGTTGGTTCATCAGTTGTTCCTCATCATTTGTCCTCCATTTATGAAAGCTAATATACTAACTTCTTGAGTAAACTGAGATAAGTGCGCAGTATGAAGGTGATTCATGAATGATAACCATTATGTTTGAAATTTTTTCCAGGCTACAGTTTGGTAGAAATATCAAGGTAGCGATTGCTTCAGCTGAATAATTATGTCATGTTAGGTTATAGGAAAGACAAAGAGAAAAAGATCAAATTTACAAGCTGCCTTCCTACTTACCAAGTAGAAAGGAATGATGAAATAAAATATAGGACACAGAGTAGGATTTAAGATACCCTGCTCAGACTATATGATGACGACCAGTTCTGTATTTATGGTTCTAAAGCAATACATTTCCAGGGCTCCAACTACAAAGGGTCTTTTTTTTGGTACCAGGGATCGTACTTGGGTCCTTGCGCTTGCGCATCAGGCGGCTAAATCCACTGAGCTAAATCCCCAGCCCTACAAAGGGTCATTTTAATTGGTGGTGGTGGTGAGGGTCTGACAGTGAAATTACTTGTTTCTCATTTGATTCCTTTATGACAAATATTAAGAGCTCCAGGATTTAGCGTACATCTTCCTCTTCAGATGCAATTAATGGAAAGGTTAGTGTTAAAATGTCAAAGCTATTAATTTTTTCCAACAAAGGCAGGGTAAACTTTCCAAGTCAAGCATTTACTTAACATTTTGGATGTCAGTTATAAAACAGTATTTTCGTGCAAACACCTTTAATGCCCATTTAAAATAATCAACCCACATTAAAGTGGAGATTTCGACTAAAATCCACTTAAATGTTGAAGATTTTTACATTTAGCTCTTACTGTCCTAAGTTTGTTGACTTAAGTCCTAAAATCTAATTCCTACTTGTAGTGGGAGCAGCAGCATTCAAATTTCCAAGAAAATATTCTTACATTCAATAGTATCTATTCTGTTTAATATTTTTCTGCCTTTGAAATTTACTGATATTAGGGTTTATTTTCCTTTGCATGAGTGATAGTATGGTATAATAAAAATACATAATTGGTTTATTGTCACTGATTCCTAGCAGAGCTCCTAAAACCTTTGGAATTTCCTGATAGTAATGTCTTATTATTCTTAACAAGCTCCTTTTGGCCTTACTGACAGGAGGCCCCTAGATAGCTTTAAGACAAGGTTGTATTATCACAGGAACCAACCAAGATGCCTGCAACTATGAGGCCCATTCTAAGACCTCTGGCGGAGAGCAGAGGGGCGGTAAATTGAGTTCAGTTACTAAAACAGACTGCTATATTATTAAACTTCCACTAAGAAAGTTTACAAGCTGGTCAATAGCATGCTGGGAGAGCCAGGTGCGGTGGCGCACACCTGTAATCCCAGCACTTGGGAGGTTGAGGCAGGAGGATTGCCCTGAGTTTAAGAGGCCAGCCTAAACTAATATGAGACCCTGTCTCAAAACAACAAAAAACATTCTGGGAGGGCAGTGAACCAGGAAAAGAATATAGAAGCACTGACCTACTTACTCTACACCCTCACCTTACTTATGCATCTTTTCCATTTGATTATTCTTAAATTATACTCTCTTTAATAAAACTGCAATTGTTAAGAATTATGCTTTCTTGAGTTATTCTGGGACATTACCAAACTTGGGGATTATGGGAACCCCAAATTTGTAGTTGGCTGAACGTTAGTGTTGATAGCCATCTGTGGCTGTGCCTGAAGTGTGAAGAGTTTGGCAGTCCTGTGCACTTAACCTCTGAGGGTCTACCAATTCTGGGGAGCATTAGAATTGAATTGTTGAATACCCAACTTATAAGACTTAATACCTTAAAACCTAAGTAGGAATAAAGTTAGAAAATAGTATGGGAACAAATAACCCATAAATATCTCATTTAGCAGTTGGAGCAGACAGATATACATCAGTTTTAAAAATGTTTATGATAATAATATATATACAAAATTTTGCAAACCACAGTGTTTTTCAAACCAGTGGCTTATAAGTAGGTCAATTTCTCCTCCTTTTCCAATCAAATTCACTGGCATTCTGAGCATACTGATAGTCTTATAGTACCTTTTGGGAAAAGGAAAATAAGCTCCATCTACTCCTTAAAACTGCCTTAACTTTGCCAAACATAAAAGCTCAAATGGTAATTTTAATACTCTGATGTGCCTTTGCTCCTGATCCTCATAGTCAGACATCTTCAAAGAGGATTATGTTTAAAAATAAACCTTGTCTCATACCTTGGCTTAAGGGAAGACATGAGCTATTTTCAGCATTAAAAATTCACTGTATACTAGCTGTCAATTTACATGTTTGAGATCACTGTCTGCTAAGGGCTGTTTAAAAACAAAAAGCTGTAACAGGCACAGACATCCTAAGGCAAATAAAATTCAATGTGATTTAATTTTATTAGTATTTTCTAACTTTAAAGAAAAAATAGAAATGAGTTTTGCAGTAGGTGCTTAACTGCCAAATAACAGTGTTCATACTCTACTTTGTTTGTAAAATAAAAGCACATCTTATTCCTGACTACTGTGACTGCTCCAATTATGTAAATCCATTTCAGTGTATTTCATAAATGTGCTACCATTCGACATCAAGATTACCAAAGGGGGTTAGCTGAACTGATCTTTTAACACACAAATAAGTGAAGCAAATATTCACTGAAGTAAACTGCCTCAACTGCACCCACCATCTGAAAATTAAAACACTAAGTTCTTGTTTTGAGCTGAATTTGGGGGTTGGAGGTGTGTATTAAGAATTTTATGCCTCAAAAGATGCAAATGTTAACATTATGCAAAAAAAGTAAGAACTCTCTTGTAACAACTTCCACACTAATTAAAAAAGAGCCATGAACACATAATTTTAAGGTTTACTTTAAAAATGTAAACATCTCCCAATATTTAATAGGTAAAGAAAATAGCATATTAATTTTATGTGGTTGTTATATTTTATTTTCCAAATAATACTGATTAAAAATATTTACACACCTACTTTTAAGTCCACAGTTTAGCACTCGTATTTGTATGGCTTTAAGAGTTATAGCACAAGATCTTTACATTAAGGATTGGGGGAAAAATTCAAAACAAAGCCTGATATATACACATCTTTCTCTGTACTTTATTTTAAATACATTAATTTTTAAATGACGGTCATCTTTTTTTCATCTGGTGGTAAAATATTAGTGCAACTTTTCTTCAAAATAAAGTTTACCACAGATGTAAATGAAATTTTCCCAATTGAAAATGGTCCTTCAGCTCTCGTTAAATAAAAATTTTCAACCTAACTTAAATGGAAAAGAACTGGTGGTTATCATTATAAGCAAAAATATGAAGTACTTACACCATCATCTACATTGCTTCCTCCAACACACTAGGAAGAACCAGAGATGCTTTATAGAAGTTTAGTTGCTTTTGAAAAGGCACATGGGTGTGAATTTTTTTTTTAACATTCTAGACATTGTGTCACCACCACTCTGTTTCTGTGCAGAGATGGCATCTGTGACTAACTGGGGTAGACATAATGTTGTTCAAGCTAAAGAAAGTCAGAGCCAAAATTGAACTGCACAGTAACAATGCACTCTTCTTCATGCAGGCTTGAGTTTCCTATATATTCAATTCTCATGCATTAGAATACATAAAGTAGGCTGTATTCTAATGATTTTACAATATGGAAAAAATTTAAAGAAGGACATCACCTGGGGAACAGAAGAGGGAGAACCTTTACCACAATGAAAATAGATACATTCGTACCCAACAATATAAGAAGAATATAATCCATTTAAGTTTCTAGAAATATACTTCCCTTCATGAGAAAGACCCCTCCTCTGTGATATTATCTGGGGGGAGGGTCATCAGTTTGTTTCCATAGAAAATAGTTCAGCACAACAGGAAATAGTTTGACTTTGGTCCACGTGTCTGTTAGCTTAAGGACAGTCACACTGCCCTTAGTTCAAAACCCAACATGTAAATTTAAAAATAACATTCATCTGTTATTTCATTCTAAAACTGGCATAACTGTTCTGTCCTCATTCTCTGTCTTTTCAGCTTGGGAATCCACTGTCAGTTTGCTGTTTAAACCTTCAGCACCTTCATGATCTTCCCTGGCAACCTCAGCACCATCTGCTTGGCTAGGTTCTCTTTCCTCTTGGCTCATGATTTCAGGGGCCACGTGATCCAAGTCTGCTTCTAGAAGCTCAGTTTGTACTTCCACTGGCATTTGATTTACCCGTTCAACATGCAGCTCCTCCACATGTACTTCAGTGCCTTCTTCAGTCTGAATTCGACCCACTTCTAGATAGCTCACTTGGACCTGCTCTGGAAGCGCACTAATATGTGAATCATGTGCTTGGCCATCCTGGAGCAGATCTGGATGGACCTGTTCCACAGTCACTTGTGCTGAATCCACCTGAACCTGAAGCAATGGTAACATATGCACCTTCCCAACCTGTTCTATAATAGTCATTGATGTCACTGGTTCAGTTTGCACACGTGTTTCTACTGAAAGGACTTCTTCAGTTACTAGACGCTCTGAAATATTGTGAGATTCATCCAGATGCCTCCTGAATTCATTTCCTTGCATAAACCACAAATCACACAGAGTGCAATGGTT